ACATCTTCTTGTAATTATATAATAATATATTAATATTATTAATATTATTGATTACGCAAAGTAAAACATTATCAATGAAAATCTTGTAATTACCCAACAATGATCTGCTCTGCGTTTTGATTTCAAATTAAAATATTATATACTAAAAAAGATACCATATTATATCAATACAAATAAAAAAAAGTACCTCTGGTTAGTTATTAACATGTTTTCTTTAGGAGGCCAAACCAAACCATAAACCAAACAACACTCACGTTTTGTCATCTTTGAAAAGTAAATTGTTTTTTAAAAAAAAAAATCAATTCGCGTCTGTCCTACCAAAAAAATAACCAATAGTAATAGGATAAATAATTAATGTACACGTTTGTCAAACTTCTTTTTTTTCTTTTCAAAAAAAATATGTCTAGAACGGAAAAACAAAAAAACAAGCGAAGACAACAAATCAATGCTGATGAGGCTGTTGCTAAGTAAGTGTTTTAAGAATGGTGGTGGTGGTTATCGCCCGCCACTTGTTGTCACTCTAGTTTCTATATAAGATTGGCCTAGTCAGTTGTTTAACTTTGATTTTTTCAATGCACTATTTGCATTTACTTAGTGACAAACGAATTACCTCCTTCTTCTCTTCATCATTGTCATCAAATTCGAGATTAGAGGAAATATTACACAAGAAATTTCATCTTGAAAAATTTCACAAAGATCAATTAAAGGTGATTGAAGAAACGTTAAACGGTGAGGATGTTTTGGTATTAATGCCAACAGGCAGTGGTAAGAGCCTCTGTTACCAGCTGCATGCAATCGTGGAAAATGGAAAAACAAAAGGGATAACAGTGGTGATATCACCCCTGCTATCACTTATCATAGATCAGATACATAATTTAAATAGCAGATATAATATTCCAGCTTTATCTTTATATAATGAACAAGAAGATAATGAAAAACAAAATGTATATGCTGAACTTAATAAACTAAAACCAAGTCACAAGCTTTTCTACATAACTCCTGAGATGTTAAATAGAAATAGAAAAATCATTTCAATAATAAGAGGCCTGTATGAAAAGAAACAATTGGCAAGATTTGCCATTGATGAGGCTCATTGTATTAGCAAATGGGGACATGACTTCCGACCAGATTACAAAGAATTATGCAACTTGAAAAAAAATTACCCAGAAATACCTATAATTGCTTTAACTGCAACCGCAACACCTAAAGTCAAAAATGAAATAATTAATATCTTGGGTATTCAAAGATGTAAGGTCATACAACAAGGATTCAATAGAAAAAATTTATACTATGAAGTACATGAGAAAGACAGTAGTGGTGATAAGGCATTGGAATATCTTGTTAAACTTGTTGAGAGTTGTAAGGGTAAATCAGGTATTATTTATTGCATTACCAAAAAAGATTGTGAGAAAGTTGTACAATATCTCCAAAAATCAGAAATTTCTGCAAAATATTATCATTCAGGCGTAGAAAAAGCAGAAAAAATCATTATTCAAAATGAATGGCAATTTGGAAGGCTGCAAATTATTGCTGGGACTACTGCCTTTGGAATGGGTAAAATTATATATGGATTTTTTAAAATTTTATGACACACACACATATAAATTAATATTGTAAGAATTAATTTTTATTAATATTAATATTAATTTTTTTTGCATATAAAAGGGATTGATAAGCCTGACGTGCGATTCGTAATACATTATTCATTGCCCCGATCTCTAGAGGAATATTATCAGGAGACGGGAAGAGCTGGTAGGGATGGAGACCATGCTATATGTGTTCTTTTATATGCAGTTAATGACTACAAGTTAGTAAAAGCAATGATAGAAGCAGAAGATGGTATTCAAAAAGAACAAAAAAGAACAGGTCTCCTTTCAATGAGAAATTATTGCGAAAATACTATAGATTGCCGCAGGAAACAGTTTCTGGAATATTTTGGAGAAATTTTTGATACATCAGAATGTGAAGAGACATGTGACAATTGCTCAGCAAGGAAACATAAGATCCATATTAATATGGAGAATAAGGATAGTTCATCATCAAATACAATCGAGATTGTTGATAAAAAAGAAGAGCAAGAACCAGATAATAATGAAACTGAAACTTTGATAAAAGCAGAAAATAAATCAAATCACGAAATAAACATCTCTGATAATTCCATATCAAGTTCCAAAACATTAGATGATAATAATACATTGAAGAAACGTAAGGAAATTATAGATGATGATAGTGAAGACAAGTCTAAAAGACTTGCTAAAAAGTCTAAGAAAGAAAGTGATGATGGAAATGTTGACGCTGATGTTTTTTAATATAACAAGATAAAATTGAAAAACTCAAAAATTATGTAACTATGGAATCAATAGACATTATAATAATATATTTATTTGCTGTTTTCTAGCTTTTAAGATTATGCTTTCTTATCCTAAGGTTAAATACTATTAATCAATCATTAATAATCATCATTGCCTTTTATTATTATGATTTTTAGAAAATTTATTTTTCATTAAATGTTCTTGGAATATCTATACTCATTGATTGAACTGATGATTATATTATCATTTAATAAAACTTTTTAACTATACTTCTAATGGTGCTGTAATTTTTGGGTTCCATGGTAGATCCAATGTAAATTAACTTCATATTAACTGTTTTTATATAGAGGTAATTCTATATATCACCTAATATTAAGAGGATAACAAATGGAAGATTTTATTAATCACATTACTAAAATTTGACCCCTGAAATCTTTGGTAATACCAATGTTCACTTTGTCTGGTTTTGTTGCAGCATGCCCCAAATAGTCGGGAAACAGTTCTTAAGTTAAATCATGCATTCTTTAACAAACTATATTGTGAGATCTATATGAAGAAAAAACCACTATCAAAGAAGCCTATGCCCTATAAAATTAATGTGTTACTTGAACTAGCTTCTGCTGGATGGAAGTTAATAAGAGTAGATGTCATCAAAAAATTTTTAAATTGTAAAGATACTGAGGTAAGATATTTACTAGACCTTTTAGATAATGTTATTCCACTTGTTTTAGATTTTTATCCAGTGATATTTCGAAGTGGACATTGGCCAGCTTATAAAGAAGCAATGTTTCGTGCTTGGGTTCTTTTTTTCAAATATGGCCGAAAGAATTACAACAAATTACCACTGGCCTTTTTTAGTGATGTGTTTTATTGGTTCAGTACACATCACCCTATGGCACAGGTTATTGAACAAAATCTCCACTTGTTCAATGACTACTATGTGGAAAATTTTCACTCATCGCTTCGTCTTCAGACCAATGAATCAAGCTCAAGTGAAAACATCATAAGACAAGCAAAAAATATTGATCAAAAACATGGAAACAATAAATTTAAAGAAAAATTTTCAGATACACACAATATAACATATACAGAAAAGGAGTTAGATTTTATGAAAAAGAAAGCAGCAATATTTTTATTGAACCTTTTTATGAATGTGAATGATAATCTAGGTAATGCAGCAGTTGATACATCAAATAGATCAGGTAAATATAAAAGACCACAATATAAACTTCCTTCACTAGATACAGTTATAGATGTTAAATAATTCCCATTAGCATGTAATACATCTTTTCCACCAAAATCTAACAAATATTGTGATTTGGAAGAATGTGAGCTTCCTTATAATTTTGGTTGTAATTTATCATGTGGTCACTCATATCATCATGAATACTTTTTGTTAAATCTTTCAGAACAATGCATCTATTGCAATGAATATTTAACAAAAGGTATTATTGAAAATTCTAACATTTTTCAAAATAGTTTAAATTCTGAGGATAATTTAATTGTAGAAAATAATGATGATGATGAAAGTAATTTAGAGGATGTTGATGATAGCGAAAATATTTCTTTAGATTCTTCTGTAGATACAATTTTAGATAATATTTTATCATTGTTTAACACTTCATAAGTTTATTATTATTTCATTAAAAACATTCGTCAAATTTTATAAATACAAAAATAAATTTTTTAAACTTTAAATTTGTTAATGATCGTCATTTTTAAAATTGACCAATCACAGAGAAAGCCCGCTATGCTGGCCAAATCAATATGTTCGTTATAACGAGGTTTGACTGTAAGCTCAAACTATTTCTGTTATTAGCCGAAATTGGACGAAATTACTCTAAAGTTGTTTAAGTTGATTGTTATAGTTTTTTTAATGTTCTGTTCATAAAAAAATGCTGAGAAGCCCAAATTGCCCAAACTAGTTTGGGTTTTGAGAAAACAGTTTGGACCGGAAACCTTAATTCCGATATTATTTTGGAAGATTTGATGGATTCAAGAATTATCGCATTCCAACTTCATGGCAAGATGTTAATTATTGACAATTGTTGATAATTTTGCATGGATGATTAATAACTTATTTATATTAAATTACAGAAACCATGATGTATGTCTATGTGGTGGACCTTGGACTTAGACCGTTACAGTGGATGACATTGATCGATACAATTCTATTACCAATAGACAGCATTACAAACGATATTATCACATTTTGAGGGAATTAATTGGTTGATCCGAAAAAATCGATAAAATTCTGGATTTCAAAAACCAAGTAGCAGTAGAAACATCGTTGTATTCAACACTAAAAATTTACTTCATTTAAATCACCACCGGATAATAATAATTTCATGCACAAGAATGTCTAAACCAAACGAATATTTTTACTAGGTTCTATAACTTTTTCTATTAAAAGATTAAGAAAACAAATGTATATATACACAAAACATCACATTTCATGTTAACAAATAAATATACATGCGGATGTACTAGTGACATACAAAAAAGTTCCTTCGATTTTTAATATTAATATATTGGCATACGAAGATTTTACATAGTTATAATAGTAGGCATATTATTTAGTAATAAGCAACAGCAATCTTTAATATATAAAGTGAATGAAATTATATATACATAATTATAAAAGTAGCATAATTTGAAAATTGACAAAAATAATAGTAAATTTTAGAATCACAATTTTGTATTTTTATCAACTTTAACAACCAGTTTACCAAAATTTTTACCATTCAACAGTCCCAAAAAAGCTTCAGGCGCCTTTTCAATTCCTTCAACAACATCTTCTTTATACTTCAATTTGGAAGATTTCAACCATTCATTCATTTCTTTTAGAAACTTTTCATACATTTCATCATAATAATCAAATACAATAAAGCCTTGAATAAGAAGGCTTTTTGTAAGAACACACATAATATTTTTAATGCTATATGGTTCTTCAACATTGTATTGTGATATCATTCCACAAGAAATCACCCTTGCATGTTTATTTAATTGGAGAAGTGTTACATCCAATGTTTCTCCACTATTAAAAAAAGAGGAAATTTTCATTTTCTGTCAAGTATATTTAAAATATTGTAAAAATTGTGAAAATTGTGAAAATATTTACCCAACATTATCCCAATAAATATCTATCCCGTTTGGACACAGTTCATCCAATTTCTGATCAAAAAAAATGTTTTAATGTATATATATATATTAATATATATATACACATATATACACATACACACGATTAATTATCATTTAAAAAAGCGTCACCTTTTTGAGATCATATTTTTTATAGTTGAAGGCACCGTCCAGTTTCATTTCATTTAAAAGAAAATCAACTTTGGAATCATCACCAGCAGATCCTATATATATATATAAATAGAAAAATAATATAATTTTCGATTTTCAGTCTAAAAGAAAAAAAAGAGATATCAAATATTTACCAATAACACATAAACCCAACATTTTAGAGATTTGACAAACAACTTGACCTACTGCACCCGCTGCCGTCTAATTTAATATTAAATTTGTTTACCAACTGTAAAAAATTGCCATGTATGATTATTTTATTTTTACTTACTGAAACAAAAATCGTTTCGTCTTTTTTTGGTTGCCCGATTTTAAATAATCCAGTATAAGCTGTCATACCAGGCATACCCAATATACCTAAAAAATAGCTAAGCGGAATATTCGAACTTTTGGCAGCATTTAAACCTTCAGTAAACATTGCATTTTGATTTGCATTTTTTGCCGTGATCACGGAATATTCTTCCCATCCTAATTAGATGAAAAATAATAATTTTTTTTTTTAATATTTTATAAAATCAAAACTATTTATACACGTAAAATATATATATACAAAACATATGTACACACCAACCATTCCAGAATATAAATCACCAACTTTATATTTTGGATTATTACTCTTAATCACTTCACTAATACCACCAGCCTCCAAAATTTCGCCAACAGTAAATGCATGAATATAAGACTTTATTTCAGGTGATCTCATCCTGCCACGCATATAAGGATCTAATGATATATAGAGATTTTTTACTAATAGTTCATCTTGCTTTAGAGGATAAGAATCAATATTGATCTTATTATGTACAACTTCGATATGTTCACCAATTACTGGATATTGGTGTGGGATTGATTTGAATTTAACTCCTATATTGTTGACCATTTTTTTTATATTTTATATCAGTAACAATTATTATATATATTTTTTTTACATAAATCGAGGCTCTTATTTATAGGTAAAATTATTCCACTATTTCTTTTTATTCATTAAAATTATCCCATGCTATTTACTATTTGTATTTATTCGTTAATACTTTTTTATTGAATATGAAGGTTCTCGAAGAATTTAACGACTAAAATAAACTATGCATCCTTACATCATATAGCAACATTCGTGTTGCGCAATAAATTTATTTTTTGGTAATGATACACTTATATATCCCTTTTTCGATAAAAACCATTTTTAAGAGTGGGAATAAATAAATAATTTAAATGATCGACATAAAAAATCCACAAGGAACGATCGCGTGATTGAATTCTGATGTAATAATCAAAATCTTTTTAATTCATAAATTTAAATAAACATAATACACTGTGTGAACATAATAATTAACATCATATAAGTATGTGGAAATTTGAAATGTTGCACTAATTTTTTATTGTGCAATGTAACTTTACAATACACGACAAACATTCTGGAAATAAAAAGTAAGTGATAAACTGGATTTGAATTGGATCTCCAATTTAGAGAGGTAACAACTATATACTGGTGAAGTTTCAGGAGCAAACTTCCACTATGCCCATCATATACCATATATTTCATATTAATTTTTTTTGTATAAAAGGTACTCCGAATGAATGTATAGATACATCGCATTTTGAATGTAACGTGTAAGGCCGAATCATATATAGATCGCCATTTCAGCGCTACGTACCTCGACCCTCGAATTCGAATGCAACATAAAAAGCAAAACCAATGCATCGTTTTTCGGTAGCGGGTCTAATTATATATAATTTGTTAGACTACTCGATCAATGCACTGTCTGGCCATGAAATAGTTTATTTTTACTAAAGATTGCATCATTGATCGTGAATACATGATATGCTAAGGTGCTTCGCATCCAATATTAATTTTGATACTTCGAACGAATATGTATGTATGTGATTGAGTCGTGTGACTTTATAATATTATGACTCCAGAATATCATTGCACTATAATAATAATGCTAATCTATATTTCACGAAACTCACTGTTACGTTTTCATTTAAAAATTTGTTTTTCTTTGCGGAGATAAATTTTTCGTAACATTTATTCATATAAATCATAGGATATGACAATTTACATATCAACTAATGAGCTAACAACAGTTAGTAACGTAATTTGCCTTAGTGAATAAGCAAAAATTAGGACCAATGTTGGTTAACTAGTGAATGTTAACAACGGTTAATGAAGCACTATCTAAAGGTTAATTGATAATATTATTGTAGTTGTAAATGTAATGTCAAGTCGTTTTGTAAATAAATTAAAACAAGTTTGCAATTGGTCAGTAAATGTAGACGTCTAAAATAAATTGATCATAAATGAATAAAATGAAAAAGTATCATCTTTCTTTCTTGTGATAATGATGATAATAATTTAACATATGACATTATACAAAAATATAAAATACAAAATTCGACTTTGGTGTTTTAATTTTTTGAGAGTAATAGTAACGGTTACATTATTTCCTCAATATTAGCATTATCAAGTGTTGAAAATTCGATCAGGGCGTATCACATTATACACCATTTCCATATTTATCAATTAATTAATTGGTCATACACAAAAAGTCATTTAATAATTTTATAAAGAAATTATTTTTTTGAGCTTCCAACGTTGGATGCATCAATTCTTTTCTTAATAATGTAAAAGAATGGATTATTCATACCTTATCTATTATTATCAGAAGATTACAGATGTTGGTGTATATATTATTTTGTTTAAAATATTTCTTTTCGTAAAATAAAAGTTTTTTTTTTAAAATAAAAACGAATGCCACCAAATCCTATAATAATAATAATAGTAATCCGTAATGGAAAATTTCTCATTATTAATATTAACGTTAACCCTATAATTAACAGATTACTGGGCTGTAACAATTGAGGTCTTAACAGATACATAAGAATCTAAAATTCGTTATATCAAATTACTAATCGCATTTTATATATGTTTTTATACGTGAAGCAAAAATTTTAAAAATTCGTTGTAGCGCGAATTTAATCATAATTCATTGAAACAAGGTTTTTGACTGTATCATTTTGATTAATTAATTTAAATTTTAAATTATCATTTTATTATCCACAGCGACTTGTTGAAATTATTTTTGACCAATAAATTATTCGGTTAAATCTTTTTTAAAACAATATGACGAAATCATTCATATTATGACCACAAATAATGAATCGAATCTTTCTTTCATTTAAATTAAGAAATACGGATAACGTTGTAGGATAACGCGATAACGATGGTGACAAGACCCCGCGATTGTTAAGTATAAACAATGCTTATTAGGGATATATAGCCATCATTTTCGCCTTCATCAATAGAATAAAAACCAAAATAATAATAAAAAAACCAATTTTTTAATTAGCAATACATAATAACATATTTTTGAAATTGATTTTTTTAAAATAATCTATCACGCAAATAAATCGTTTTTAAAAATAATGGCATCTATTTTAACATATGTTGTATTTGTCAAAGTGTGAGTGGTGAACGGGTACTGTGTATAACAGAGCGTATGACGAAGGATTCATAAAGTTAAACTTCAAGGCGTTTCGAGGACGTGATTTAAGAAATCAGTGAAAACACGGTCATGTTGATGATTGGAAAGTTCCTTAACGTTGAGTCTGAATCATTCGTAAGAATTTTTTTTATGATCGTTCATTTTACCAAGATATGACGATGCGTATGTACAGTATATTAATTAATATGTATTTTAAATGGCTTTCTTAAACGCACTCTAAATGATATTTTCTTTGCATAGGTAAATGTCGTTATTTTTTCATAAATTGGTGTTATAATTAGATATTTTGTATAACGTTGTATCACTATAAATAATGATGCTTGAATGTGGACAAGGACATCGTAACTGCCTCTTTATATAAATAAAATACATCAGGAAATTTTTCCCGCCGTAATATTACGTCCGTAAATTTTAATATTAATATGTAAGCTGTAATATTTGCATAAAAAATTATGTAATATTTATACTCAATGTAATAATTGCATAATTTTTGTACGATTTTTATTTTTGTATAATATTATGGGACCCGCCGTAAACTTATGTAAACCCGCGTCAGAAAAAATTTCTTGATGTAGTCTTTTGTCTTTGTGTGATCGTGTAAAAAGAAAAAGGTTCACGCGCGTTAATTTTGAACAATCACATAAAATAAATAATTTACCAAATATAGTAATAATTAATTAATTAAATCCGGTTTAAATCCGGTTGTTTTAAAGTACAATTTTGGGTTCGAAATACTTATTGCCCAAAATTCATTTCATAAAATAACCGATTTACTATAAATTTTTATAAATACCTTCCTTAACTGCATACAATTTGAAAGAAAAACTTTTTACTTTCTTTAAAAATAATCTTAATTCCATACAATTCGAAAAATAAAAAACCTGACAAAAGTTAACCAAACAATCAAAATGAAATTCAATATTTCTCTTCTCTTCTTGATTATCTTTGTTGTTGTTGCTTTAGCAAGTCAAGTTGATGGTATTTCATTTACTATTACCATCATAATAAATAGATACCTGACGAAATGTTCTTGTGGGCGGGAAATTATTTCGTCAAACTGTTATTAATTTCGCGAAATTGACGAAATTTGACAAGAGGAAAATATGACGAAGAGGAAAAAAGTACGACAAAAGGAGAATATAATAAATTTATACGTGCTCTTAGATTTATATTCACTTGTTCATTTAAGATTCTTCATTGAAATGGTAGTCAGCTTCTATTTGTAAATGCTAACTCAAGTGTTGATGATAATTTGTCTTGGAAGATCAGCATCTACATTTTACCAAAAATTCTAAAGGTCATTTTTCTGCTAAATGTTTGTGAAGAAACGTCAAGTCTTGCAGTATTTCATTTCTTCAGAATAGAAAGTAATTGTTATTGTGAAGTTGACATTTATTTATTATCAATAAAAATCATATTTTCCTCTTTTTGTCAACTTTTTTCGCTTTTTCTTTTTGTCAATATGCCTCTGGCGGTAAAGTACCATTCGTCAGTAACATTGACTAAATGCTAATCATTTCGTCGGGTATCTTTAGTCAATATCGTTGTTTTTGAAAAAGTATTAACTATTGGTTTTATTTTAATATTATAATAATATATAGCCCGGTAAGGATTTTCATCAAACATTATTATTACAATCAATATCATTGTTTTTGAAAAAATATTAACTGTTGATTTTTATTTTATTTAAATAATAAATAGCAAGTAAGTATTTTCATCTTTATTATTATTGCAGTTAATATCATTGCATTTGAAAAATATTAACTGTTGATTTTCATTTTATTTTTTAAATAATAAATAGAGGGTAAGTATTTTCATCTTATTATTATTGCAAATATTAACTGTTGATTTTGATTTTATTTTAAATAATAAATAGGGAGTAAGTATTTTCATCTTTATTATCATAGTCAATATTGTTGAAAAAATATTAACTGTTGATTTTGATTTTATTTTAAAAATAAATAGTTCGTAAGTATTTTCATCATCATTATTATTACAATTAATATCATTGTTTTTGGAAAAATATTAACTGTTGATTTTGATTTTATTTAAAAATAGGGATGTAAGTATCTTATTATTATTATTATTATTATTGAAAAAATATTAACTGTTAATTTTCATTTTATTTAAATAATGAATAGTCTGTAAGTATTTTCATCATCGTTATTATTGCAGTCAATATCATTGCTTTTGAAAAATATTAACTGTTGATTTTCATTTTATCTTCAATAATAAATAGTTCGTAAGTATTTATTTCATCATTATTATCACAGCCAATATTATTCTTGTAAACATATTATTAACTGTTGATTTTTATTTTATTTTAAATAATAAATAGGGAGTAAGTATTTTCATCACCATCATTATCACATTCATT